TTGCATACTTTACAGCGTGGTTTGTTGCATTTAATATTACCATGGGAAGTCGGGTTAGGGAGTAAATTGGACGACGTGAGGATAGACTTGAGGTTGGGGGGTTGGCGGTTAGCGAGTAAGGGAGGGTTAGGATACAGATTTTTTATATTAGGGTCCTGTCGAAGGGTACGAAAATCTTTCTTGATAGTGTTGGCCAACTTGGTGGTAGGAGAGTTGAAGTTAAAAACTAATGGTATACTGTCAGAATCAGATTTGGGTTTAGGGTTTAAGTTCAGATTGGGGGCGTGAGGCTGCCTTAAGGGTCTGGGATTTAATAATTTTAAAGGGGTGGTCACTGTTAAGAAAGTCAGCTGGGTCAGAGCAAACGCGCTTAATACGGAGACACTGGCTATATATGATAGATTTCTTCAGGTTGCTGGGGTGGGAGCTTCCATAGTTGAGATATTGGTGGCTGTCAGTAGGCTTAGAATAGAGCGTGGTAGAGAGGCGTTGGTTAGTAATATTAACTGCCACATTAAGGAAGGGAATGTGGGTGGGCGAATATTCAAGAGTGAATTTAATATGGGGATGAAAATTGTTGGCGTACTCGAAGTCGAGGAGGGCATCAACACCATGGGGCCAAATAAAAAATATATCATCGATATACCTATGAAAAAAAGAAGGTGAAAAGGGATAACCAGAAAGTAGGTTTTCTTCCAAGTAGGCCATGAAAATATTGGCGTAGTTAGGGGCCATTCTCGTACCCATAGCAGTGCCTTTCACTTGGAGGAAATGTTGGCCATTGAATGAAAAATTATTATGGGTGAGAATGAAATTAGTGATGGAAATAATATCTTGTATGTACTCGTTAGAAAAAGAATGCTTCATAAGAAACATCTTGCAAGCTAAGAGGCCCTCATCATGTGGGATGTTTGTGTACGATGATGAGACATCCATAGTAACTAGAAGGGAGCCAACAGGTAATATAGAAAAGTTCGAGAGAATATTAAGAAAGTGAGTGGTGTCCTTAATGTAGCTAGGAATAGTGGGAACGAGGGGCTTGAATATAGCGTCAATGTATCCAGATAAATGTTCAGTGAGAGCATAGAGAAAAATATTTTCTCTATGGTGAGAGTGCCGATGTTAGAAACAATAGGTCTGCCGGGAGGTGTAATGTTAAGGGATTTAGCAAGGTTGAACAACGGCGCTTGCTCAGTAGGGACGGTGGTGTTAGGAGATGAAAGCTCGAGGTGGCGTTTAACTAATGTGGGTACCTTGTGGAGCTTGGGAATCGTATAAAATACAGCGGGTCGTGGAGTGTTAGGGATTAGTAACTTAACTACATTCGAAGTGTTATTAGAAAGTTCGTCGGTCGGTTAGAGAAATTAATTCTTTTCTGTAATGTTCTGTAGGGTCGTCTGTAAGTGGTTTATTAAAGTTGATGTCCGATAGTTGTGAGTTGGCCTCTGAAATGTAGTCAGATCTATTTAGAATCGTTGACGTCGCTTTAGTTTCCCCTTAGCGACACTACTTTCGCCTTAAGGTACTGTTTTTAACCCACTTCATTGTTTTAGTTTCCCCCTATGGATACTTCTAAGCTGTCTCTTATACACATCTAGATGTGTATAAGAGACAGCCTTTAGTGTCATCGATCTAGCACTTTGACCCAAAAGGGCTTTGTTGATAGATAAGAGTATCATAT